GGGGGGGCAGCGGGTGGGAGAAATTGTTCTTTCTTTTACACCACTCTTCTGTCCTGAACTTCTGTCATGCCTTACCTCACCTCATACCTTATTGTTTCAGAGTATGACAGAAAGGCTATCAAAATTTAAAGTGAGACACTAAAAAAGAACTGAATAAGCTTGGTAGGCTTTCTGCAGCAAAACATGGGAAGTGAAATGGGAAGAAAAAAAATCGTTAAATCACACAGAATTTTCAGTTGAAATTCATTTGACCTTGTTAAGAAGAAATACACATGGGGTGAAAAAAGGACAGGACAACTAGTCTAGCAATACCATTAAGCCAGCAAAATGATAGTTCAGACTTTACAAAAATCCTACTAAAAACTCTTTCCCAAACTAAAAAAATAAATGAAGTCCAACTTTATAAAGGTGAAAGAAAAATATAAGCAGTCAAAAAAGAAACAGAAATTTAGCAGCACCCTATGTTCACTAGTTAAAACTGTCAATTTAGTGACATCTCATTTATGAGAAAGGACAAGATTGCATTTTAACCAGTTTGACAGAAATTTGCCAACTTTCCCTGAAACTCACAAGAGCAGTTAAATTATTTTTGCTTCATGCTATGTTCTGTCACTCTATACTAAAAATAAAATGGATTCCTTAATTAGCTGTTCTTCTATAAATACTTCAATAGTATACATAAGCTTACATATAAAAAGCAACTCATAAGTTGCGCAATCTTGAAGACATGTATTTTAAAAGCCAGGAATTATCAGCAAACTATGTATTTCTCAGTGATACTGCTCTGATTAAAAGAAAAAAAAAAGAAGAAAAAAGGGAAGAGGAAGCTTCAGCAATAAACTTTTTGAAATTACAAGTTAATCTTCTCACTGAGGCTTGAAAATTTGCCTCTTCAGGGAGGGTTCTGTAGTCACTTCTTTGTCACATATGGAAGACAGGAAACAGAATTTGTTTTCAAAAAGACCAGTCTTTGCAGCTGACATGGTCCAGAACAATCTAGAATTTATTAAGCTTGATTAAAGAAAAAAAACTGACTTCTAGAAAAAATGTTCTTTCCCACACTGGTCATTAAAAAACATAGGGTGATCACGACACTCTCCAAGCAAATGCAGAACTCCTGAACATAAGCAGATCGTCATGCCTGTATTTCAAAAGGTATGGAAAGCAACGTGCCTTCCTTTCCACAGAGGTGGCAGACTGCCACTACAGGAGAGGTTGAACAGAATAGCTAAACAGACTTCCCCCTCTTTTTTTTTTTGGCTAAAGAAATTATCTCAAAGTTGATCAGATTTAGGTAGCTAACATTAGAACACGTATGAAATTAAGTATTTTGCATACAAGCTTCATGAAGCAAATACAAGACACATTCACAGTTAAGCTAATCCAAAAGCTGCTTGCATACAGATGAACTACACATACTTCCTTCAAGAAGATGGCTCACATGCAAAGTCATATATTTCTTCCAAGTGCTTTATTAGACTGAGATCACTGTGAGATTCTGCACAGAGCAAGAAGAGGCATCTCATTAGAATGAAGGAAGACAACCAATGTGAAGTTCTAAAATGGAGTTCTATCTTTGTTCTGATAAAAAGTTTTATCTATTTAGACAAACAGCACATTAATATTGGTAGAAAACTACTAAACTTTTAAGATTACAGAAATCAAACATTATTAGAAGCTCAAAAAAGTAATCGATCAAAGGTTCAAGTGGAGCTTCTGAAGTGCAGGTTTGTTCAGACTCCAGCTTGTTCACTGCTCTGGGAAACATTTTAATAAAGTTGCATCACAAAATGCACACCAAATGAGCAATGTGTTATTAGAAATAACAACAAATATGAAAGGAAATAAGGGTTGCCTGTCATCTGACAGCAATAAAAGATAAAAAAGCCTCATTTGTCTAATCTGCTCACAAAGAACATTCAACGGTGATAAAATCCTATAACTTTTCCAAAAGTCAAGTCACTGGGTAAGAAGCACAACTTAAAATCTTTTTTTCTTCTTAATGTCCATAAACTTAGCTCTAGCACATGCACTGTATTTCTAATTCTTCTGTCAATTTCTTTCCATTAAATCACCATGCTTGCTTGAGGGGGGATTTCTTCTGTTCAAGCAGCCACATTCTTAATACAGAACTTGCTTAAGTTGAAACAAAATGACACAAAAACAAGAGCAGATGTTAATTAGTCTGAGCATATTTGATTAACATTTGCTTAAAAAAAAAGCCAATAATGAATGAGCTCAAGAATAATAAAAAAACCACTACAGTGCCTACAATTATTTTACCCAACACTTTAGAAATACAAGATTTTAAATAGTGCAAATTACGCAATCTCATTGGAAAGTTATTTCCATTACTATTCTAAATTTCCTGTTCAGATTAATTAACATTATGATTTTAAAATAATAAATTAGAGGCAAAGCATATACATGGACAGTATCTTAATGCTGCAAAAAATAAGCTTTAAAAAAGAAGGTAAAATTCCTGCTCATATTGTGAGAAAATTAAAAAATTTAACTGACTTATTATTTACATATAAACATTTTTTCTTCACAAACTAAGAAGCAAAACAGGAAAACACTAATCTCTAAGACAAAACTTCATAGGTATCAATAAGCACCTTCATCTTGGTATCAGACTTCACCACTGCTTTCAAGAACTTTCACTGAAGTGCTTTTGGGACAATATACATCTACATGGATAGAATATAAAAGGACTTAAACTAAACTTAAACTCCCCTACTCCTTTGGCATTTAGTTTTTTAAAAGCACATCACGCTATTTAGAATTTAAACTGAAGGAGGGCACGGGCAGGGAGAAAACTGAAAGGGTACTCAGAATTCTTATTTGTGGCAATTTCCAGGAAAGCAGGTTCTTTACAAACTTTCTTCCAGTTTATGCAGTTCTTTCTCCCACTGAAAACTTATGCCATACTCTCTCAGTTCCATGTGCCTGCATATAGCAAAATGAAGCACCAGGACATTCAGTGCGTAATAGAGTTCTATCCAGTTGGGAAAAACAGGCTAAACTCTAAAGCACTGAAGTTACACATGCTTAATTTTATGCCTGTGAGTACTTTCAGTGAAAATAAAATTTACAATGTTACAGCCCAAAATGTAATTTCTTATTTCAAGTATTTTAGTAGCACCACCAACAAAAAAAGTATTACTGAAGCAAAAAAGAACTGCTTACAAATGTTCATTAGTAGCACAACCCCCCCAAATTATAAATGAATCAAGTACCTGCCATTATGTTCAGTTATAAAAAAATACCACTAGACAAGACACTGCCACATGCCAGATTGATTGAGAAATTCCAGTGTTAGGGAGAGAAAAGAATAGAAGTTTTCCAAATGAAGACTCGACATGGTCAGCAGCTCTTTCCAACAGGTAAATTTTCCACCACCACAAAAAAAAACCCCCAAACAACAAGCCAGCTAAGAAGTAGCAGTCACAGAAACTGCAACATAGGACTTTTCAGACTTCACATACTCTTGAAACATTATTTTACTTCTACATTTGGCAGAAGGCGGCATGCAGAAATACTGGAACCACACAGCTATATAAGCTTTGTAACATGAACAACAGATCCATCAAGGAAACTAACACAAATGTTCTGTGGATGAACCTAACATAAATATTTCCTGACAATAAACCGCACTGGGAACACAGACAAGAACATAATTTTTTAAAATATAAATCTTACTGTAAAATGGGAAATTGAAGTGAAAAAATAAAAAAATTAACAACAAAGCATGCTTGTTGCTCAACCTTCTCAGACTTAGTTGGCTTTCCCTTCAGAGATTAGTTTATTTAGCTGAAAAGAGCTTAGCTATATAGCCATCTTCGTCCGAGCACTCAACACAAGAACAGATTTTGTTCACTTCACCTGAGGAAGCAGCAGCAGCAGTCACTGCACAGCCAGGTCCAGCACTCTTAGCCTAGGGAACTTTTTTTTTTTTAACTAACACTACAAAAGGGTACCAATATTAGTGTAAAAGTAATTATTAGAACGTGACACTGCTCTTCCAAAATTTCACTGCTTGTTTCCCCAGGCAGTAACCCTATACAACTGCAAAGCTGCTGTCACTGATTCATCAGAGAAAGTCACCAAAAGGATGCTCAGGTGTTCCTCTAAAGAATCTCTTAAAAGAGTGAACAACAACAACAACAAAAAAATCTCTGCAAAATTAAAAAAAGTGGAGTGAGGACAAAGCACATATTTCATTCCTGTTTCAAACATCTTCTAACTCCTGCTTGCCCTGATTATCACTAAGAAAAAAACCCACTGAAGATGGAAGGGACCGGTCATACGTGTGCATGAAAAACCGCAGCAATCGGAGGGGAGAGAAGAAACAGGCCTAACAAGGTTACAAAGCCACAGCAGCTTGTTGAGAGAAAGTCTTCAGCTACGTGATCAATGAGTTTCAACGGTTTAAGAACGAAGGCCATACCTCCCCGATGGCTTCAGGAAACCTGGCCCGAAGAAGATCCTGTTCGCGGGCCAGCAGCCAGGAAGAGGCAGCGCACCTCTCACAAAAGGACCCAGACCCTCCTCTTTTACGCGGGCGGAGGCCTCGGCTACGCCGCGCGGGACCGCGCTCTCCCAGCCACGACCGGGAGACCGGCACTGCCCGCAGGCAGAGTGGGGACGGGGAAAGGCAACGACCCCGACGCCTAGGCCCGGCAGACAACAGAGTGCCGGGACAACAGGGCGGCTCGAGATCACGGGAAGGAAAGAAAATAAAGAGAGAAGCAGGGAGAAACACCGGGCTACAGCAGCGCTCTAAGCCCTGTTCTTATAAAGAAAAAACCTGCGCTAGCAGGGTGGAGGCGAACCCGCAGCACCAGAGCTCAGGGCCCGCATCCCGACGGAGGGGGATGGGAACGGAGAGACGTGATGGGAGGAGGAAGCGTGTGAGGGTTAAGGCAGCGCAGCTCAGCTCC